CGTGATCGTTATTGTTCTTACCGCTGCGATCGTTGCTATCTCGGGAGCGCGCAACCACGGATTAGCGATCCATGGATTTGGCGCGCGGTCGCCAAATCTATGGATCGGGGGAGGTGCCCTCCCAAAAATGCGGCCGTTGCCGCGCGGGAATGCGCTATTTCTACGGGCAACAGGCCCCGATGCTAATCCACGCCCCCCTTACGGTAGGTTCGCGCGGCGTCGGCGCGCGCAAAGGTTTTTGACACAACGTCGATCGTTCAATCTTAAATCGATCGCGGCCCCATTGTCATATATTGAATCCAATTTGGTCCAATGGCATTACCGTGCCCGTCGGTGCTTCCGAGTCGCAAGATTCGCGCGCCATCGCCGCACGAACCTACCGTATCCATGTTTGCGATAGCCTGAGTTATCGTGCCCTGGTCAGCTCGGGCGTAGCCTCCTCTGCACGCCTCCCTGGTGGAGCCGGTAGAGGCCGCCATGCCTGGTCGTCGTCGTCGTCCCCCTCCTCCTCCTCCTCCTCGTCCTCCTCCTCGTCCTTCCCCTCCTCCTCTCCTCCTCGTCATTTTCTTCCTCCTCCTCCTCCTCCTCTGCGTCCTTCTCCTCCTCCTCGCTCTCGTCGTCGAACCTTCTTCTCGTCCGCCTCCTCCTCCTCGTCCGCCTCCTCCTCCTCGCCCTCGTCCTCGAATCTCCTCATGCTTCTCGCCTGCCTCCTCCTCCTCCTCTTCCTCTCCCTCTTCCTCCTCCATCCCTGCCCTGAATAAAACACTCCTCCTGTCACAAACCGAAGCCAGTCGGAAGGGCGGCTTGGGCGTTTCGCCTGAGGCTTCCTCACCAGTTATGATGCTGGAGCTTGAAAATGGACGACAGTTTCACAGATGGAGGCGGTCCATTTTCAACATGTGGCTGTCGCCTTAGCGCCCGGCACATTCGGGTTGAACATTTGCACGAGCTTCACGGGTCGAGGGCGGCCTGGTTTCAAAAAATGTGGTTCTCGCCTTAGCTCCGCGCACACTCGTCTTAGAAAAAAAACACGCAAGAGCTTGACGGATGGAGGGCGGCTATGTTTTCAAACTTTGGTTCTCGCCATGGCGTCGCGCACATTCGCTTCCAGAGCATGCAAGAACTTCATATGTTGAGGGCGGCCTGTTTTCAAAATGTGGCGATAGCATTCGCGCCGGGCGCCTTCGTCTCAGACATTTGCAGTGGGCTTCACGGATGGAGGGCGGCTTTTTTTCTAAAACGGAGTTCTCGCCTTAGCGTCGCGCGCGGTCGATTTAGATATTTGCAAAAAGTGTCCAGGGTTCGCATGATTAGCGTCCCAGAAACTGTGCTCTGAAGAAATGTAAGACTGTCAAGACTACACAATTACGTTGATTCGCAGTGTTGAAATCCCAGGATTGGCGTTCCGGCGAAATTCAGGACCGTCACGACGCAGCAGTAAGGTTGATTCGCGGCGCTAAAGTCCCAAGAATTGTGCTCTGTTTAGCACGGATCAGGATTTTCCCATGGTTGTCTTCCAACGGGCACTTCCCTCAGTAGAAATGACTCCTTGTAGGAGCCAGTAAAGAGGGAATTTGGAGGGAGGGTTGATTACAACATCGTTGGTGATGCTTGGGTTTGCCCGGGCTGAACACATTTCGTAGGAGATCTGGGCAAATGTGTAATTGGCTAGTCCGCACACCGTTCTAGTGTGAGAGTGTTGTGCCCCACGCATCGCCGAGACAAACAACACAGCGCTGTCAGTCCGCCCGTTTTTTCGTGGGCCGCCGTCGCTGCCGCACTGCCTTTGCCGCGTCGGTACAGACCCGACGACTCGACCGAGCCGAGGGATGGACAACGCCAACCGCTCCCCTCTTCACCGATCCTGGCCAGGTCCAGCCTAGGCCCAGGATCGGTGCATGTGCACTCCCCGCCGGGCTGGGAGGGCTGGCGCCCAAGATGGGCGTGGCGAGCCTCGGTGTAGGCAGATCATCGTATCCCACGTGGGCCCAACATGATAATTCATTGCATTGTGGATGCGTGAAACGTGTGGTGCAAGCTATGCGGTGCAAGACACGCGGTGCATCATAGAGGCGGCAACGAAACGGCAACGAGGCGGCAATGGGCGGCAGCGTGCCGAGACCTCGCAGGACCCGCCGAACGCACGAGGCGGCAACGACGCGGCAATGGGCGGCAACGTGGCGAAACCTCGCCAGACCCACCCAACGCACCAGGCGGCAAAGACGCGGCAATGGGCAGCAACATGGCGAAGCCTCGATGAAACCACCCAGCGCACGAGGCGGCATCTGGGCGGCACTGCGGCGAAAGCTAACCACACCCACCCAACGCACGGGGCAGCAACGAGGCGGCAAGGGGCGGCAGCGTGGCGAAGCTCCATTGGACCGTCCAGCGCACGGAGCGACAGCGAGGTGGCGAAACCTCGCCACACCCACCCAGCGCACGAGGCGGCAACGAAGAGGCAATGGGCGGCAACATGGCCACACCTCGCCTGACCCACCCAGCGCGCAAGGCGGCAAGGAAGCGGCAACGGGCGACAGCGTGGCGAAACGTCGCTGGACCCACCCAACGCACGACGCGGCCACGAGGCGGCAACCGACGGCAACGTGGCGAAACCTCGACGGACCCACCGAACGCACGAGGCAGCAACGACGCGGCAACGGGTGGCAACGTGGTGAAACCTCGCCGGACCCACCCATACGCACGAGGCGGACACGAGCGGCAACGTGGCGAAACCTCGCCAGACCCCCCCATACGCACGAGGCGGCAACGTGCGGCAACGTCAAAAAGACACGCCAGACCCATCCAATCTCGCTTGACGCAGATAGGATGCCTAAATGCATTCACCGATTGGGGGAATTGCGTGGTCTGGGAGGCCGTGGTATGGACAAATAGTTAGCAGAATCATCAGCTTCCAAGGTCAGCGCGGTATCATTGGATCGACGCTGGCCCCCTTCAATGGCGGCGCCTCCGGTGCCGCCCCTGGCTCGCAAGCGCGCGAGGGAGGGCGATCTCAAAGTCCGCCCGTACCTTCGGAAGTTTGTGGTTATGTTTCCTTCTTCGAACAGCCCTGCGCGGGTGCGTATTTAAGTTCCATGCCAACTATGTATTTGTTTTTGTATTCTACATGTCCCAGCGTGGTCGAAAGCGTGGTCCAGCAGAAACAACGCTCGGAGGGCAAAAACGGCGAAGAAACCCTACCCTTGAAACCCCAGGACGTCCCTTGATTTCTGGGTGGGAGCGTCACACTTTCCATGGCAAAACAAGCGAAGCCCGAGAAACCCAGGGCACCCTGGAGGCGAGCAGGGTGTTTCTTGGCAGGGGCCACCACTGTATGGATACCAGTTTTGCCCGCATCTGTCGGGGATCTTCTGACCCGGGTCAATCCAGACCCTGGTCAGCAGGAAACCAAAAACTGCAATGCAGGAAACAAAAACTGCAACGCAGGTCCTCGCAACCCCGGGTCAGCCAATCTGCGCGGCCGCCCTCGCGGCCACGAGCGGCTCGCTCACCCGGGGTCAGCCAGAAGGGGGTCTTCGCGGGATCCTGCAGGATCCGGTGTCCTGGCTGACCCCCGTTTGCATGGACCCCCGCCTCAGGGCTCGACCGCTGCATGGACCCCCGTTTGCATTGACCCCCGAGTGCACTGACTCGAGGATGGACAGACCCCCCTTTAGTAAAACGTGGTTTAGTGAAAACGACCTGAGGCCGAAACCTGGCGGGCGCAAGCCTGGAAAATAACGGCCACGGCGCCCTCTCGAGAACCGAAAACGGACAATTCACTAATCGACGTGTCACTGTTGGGGGTTCTGTCCACCCCCGAGTTTGCATTGACCCCCGTTTGCACTGACCCCCGTTTGATGACCCCCGTTTGCATTTGCACCTGCAGCCCGACCGCAACCCCGGCTCCGAGCCGCCGCGGCTTCCAAAAGCGCCCTATGGGCCCGCGCGCCGTGGCCGCGCGCCGCGGCCGCGCCGTGGCGGGCGCGCGCCGCGCGCGAGCCGCCGCACGCGCGCGCGCCCCCCGAGGCCCGCGCTGCCGCGCGACGCGGCCGACGCCGCCCGCGCGCGGGGCGCCCCCGCCGCGCGGGGGGGGCCGAGCCCGAGCTTGGCCAGCACCGCCGCCGCAGGATCGACCTCGGCCGCCGGCCGCCCGCGGCGGGCGGCGCCGCCGCGTCGCGTCCTCGTCCTTCGTCCTCGTCCTCGTCCTCGTCCTGTTCCTCGTCCTGTTCCTCGTCCTCGTCCTCGTCCTCGTCCTCGTCCGCGTCGCGTCCTCTTCCTCGTCCTCGTCCTCGTCCTGTTCCTCGTCCGCGTCCTCGTCCTCGCCCTGTTCCGCGTCCACGTCCTCGTCCGCGTCCGCGTCCACGTCCTCGTCCTCGTCCTCGTCCTTGTCGTCGTCGACGACGACGGCGTCGGCGGCGTCGACGGCGTCGGCGGCGTCGGCGGCCGCGGCGGCGGAGGCGTCGTTGGCGTCGTTGGCGTCGTTGGCGCTGCCACCGCCGTCGCCCTCGGCGGGCTGCTCCTCCCTGAGGGGGGGGGGGAGCATCGAGCTCGAATCGGCATTACATCGCCAGCAGATCGGCGGCGGGCCCCCGATTCTGGCTGACCCCACAAGGGGTCCAGCGAGAGGAAGGGGGTACAGTCGGGGCGTTGACCCAAGGAACCCTAAATAAGGAACGAGGCCGCTTTTTTTCCATGAATGAAACTTCGATTTCCGATCGAAACCACAAGGAAAACCTGAGGCAAGCTGCGAAACAATCAAGGAACACGGAGCCCCTCCCCAACGAAAAGGGTTCCTTCCTCAGGGCCCCGATTGTAGTGCAATAGATCTGGTGCCATAGATCTGTGGGGCTGCCATAGATCCGGGGTGTGCAGTACATTCCGGTGCGCAGATGTACTGCTGGATCTCCGTGTGCAATGCCTGAGCTGCAATACACTGCAATGCAATTCTCTGGCTCCACACGGTTGCAATCCCGTTGCCCCACGTCTAGTGCACCACCCCCATTCAGCTGGACCCCCTTTCTCGCCATCGCTCGAACGTAAATTCCCTGTGTTTTTGTTCGGTGTCGTACGTGCCTTTTTTCGCCAAAGGATCAAGGACGCTCCTCGATGGTCCTCGCCGCAGGAAAAATGCACACGTCCGAGCGATGCCGAGCTTATGCAAGGGGAAAACAAACCTACCTCGCTTTTGACCACCCTCGCTTCCAAGAGATACCAAACGATGCCAAACTACGGCCTGTACTGGTCAGGCCGCTCGACGAGGAGGCGCGTGGTATGACTTGGTCTTGCCTGGAAGCCAAAGCGGGGTAGGCAATTCGCGCTCTGATTATGGGCCGGCCAGACCAGCTGGGGAGGCCTCTCCCCCGGAGCTGCCCGGGGCCAGACCCCTGATCTCCGTGTGCAATGCCTGAGCTGCAATACACTGCAATGCAATTCTCCGGCTCCACGCGGTTGCCATCCCACCTGCCCCCCATCTGGTGCACCACCCCCAAGAGCTGCCCGGGGCCAGACCCCTGGCGCTCTTCGCTCCGTGGCCGAAGGAACAATGCACACGTCCGAGCACCACCCATCTGGTGCACCCCCCCATCTGCCCCCCATCTGGTGCACCACCCCCCTTTCAGCTGGACCCCCGTCTGGGCCGGCCGGGCCAGCCGGGGAGGCCTCTCCCCCGGAGCTGCCCGGGGCCAGCCCCCCCATGGCGCTCTCCGCTCCGCGGCCGGTGCGCGCCTCGCTCCCCCGCCCGTGGGGCGCGCCCTATCGGGCTCCACCGGGCCTGCCGAGGGCGGGCCGCCCCGGAGGCCGAGCCCGCTGAGTGTCATCCACCTTCCTTCCGCCTCCTTCGTCCTCCTCCTCCTCCTCCTTCTTCGTCCTCCTTCTTCGTCCTCCTTCTCCGTCCCTCTCCTCCCTCTTCTTCCTCCTTCTTCTTCGTCCTCCTTGAATATCATCCCCCTTCTTCGTCCTCCTCCTCCCGCTCCTCGCCCTCCACCTTCCTTCCGCCTTCTTCTGAAGGGGCCCTGGGACACACAGATAAATACACACAGATAACAGGGTTCCTGATATGTTCCCATGTTTTCTGGGTGTTTGTCTTCCCCCCCCACGTCCCATCTTTTCCTATATTTTTTCTGAGGAAGCGACGATTCATTGTGCCTGTGTGTTTTTTCCCCTCCTGATCTTCGTCCTCCTCCTCCCGCTCCTCGCCCTCCCCCCCGAAATTGCCCTGGATTCCCAGCGACTTGGACCCCCAGCGGCCCGGAACCCTTCGGCGGGATCAGCTTCCCATCCCCAGGAGCATCCTTCAACCGATTCCTATCCACACTGGCGTGGCCTGGGCCCCACTGGCCGATTTCCCCTCTTAGAGGGGGATATGGCCTGTTCCCTTCGAGTTTCGTGGGTCATATCCCAAATTTGGGGTGGTGGGTTGCATGGTGGGGATCGAGATGGGGGGATGGGGACATGGATCGCTTTCGGGGAGACGTAAGACTTGGGTGCGAAGACTCGGGTTGGCCTGACAAAGCCCTCATGAAAACGATGAGGCCCACTCGGAAATCTGACGCGAACTCCCGCCGCAGACACCCCACGAACACTGGACCGTCAAAAACCCAGGAGGCGCTCGCCAAACAGCGTCCGCAGGCCCGAGCTCCGGCGCGCTCGAGTCTTACGCCTCCCCGCCGGTGAACACGGCACCGACCCGAGCCCTATTTCGGGGCGGCCCCGCCGGGGGCCGACCGCCCCGGCATTCCTGTAGACCCACCACGACGTGTTCTTGGAACCCCCAAAACTGCTCTGAGATCAAAAACGAAGTCCTGAGAACCCCAAAACTGCTCTGAGATCAAAAACAAAGTCCTTAGAACGTAGCGCCGACGGGGGAAAACAAGCCGATCTCGGCCAGAAAGGTCCTGAAATCAAACACAAAGTTCTTAGAACGTAGCGCCGACGGGTGAAAACACAAGCCGATCTCGGCCAGAAAGGTTCTGACCGTGCGCATCTCGTGCAGACCGCAGCATGTCCTCGGAACACTCTTTTGTGAAGGGGCCCTGGGACACACAAATAAATACACACAAATAAAATGATCCCCCATATTTTCACATATTTTGGGTTTTTTTGTCTTCCCCCCCACTTCCCATATTTTTGCATATTTTCCTGGGAGTCGACGATGAATTGCGTCTGTGTGTTACTTTCCCTCCTGATTTCGGTGGGCCTCTTCCGCCGAGCCGGGACGCCTCGCCCCTGCTCGACTACTGTTGCCTAGCTGCCAGGCCGCCCCAGCCCAACCCGAAGACCCGCATCTCGGGTTGGGGAGGGGGGGCACGGGCTCCACAAGCTGAGCAGTTTCCTAAGGTGGAGGGCTCAGGGTGAAATCCACATGGGCTTTTGCACCTCAAAAATCAATGTATCTTGTGATTCACCTCTTGCGAATTCAAGCCTGGAACATCCATCGAAACGGCATTTCAGATTTCACCCTTTGCCCTCCACCCAAAGAAAATGCTCGGACAAGGTTTTCCCAGTGTTCCCCGCCCCCACCCCACTGGAACTGGAGGGGCAACTTGAGGCCTTCGGGTCGGGCTGGGAGGCAACTGCTGGGAGGTCCTCGTCGGAAGGATTATAGAGAGACTTCAGCCCCATTGGGGGGCTACTGCGCAGGGTTAGGCCGCGGATGAAGCGGGATTCAGCCGGATTACGCCGGAATAAGCCGGATTAAGCTGGAATAAGCCGGATTAAGCGGCGTTAAGCCAGATTAGGCCGGATGTCGGACCAGGGCAGAATCAGAGTCTGCCCTCCCAGGAGTTGCCTCCGAAGTTCGGCTGGGGTGGTCTGCTGGGTGGTGCTCTCTAGCATCACCGGGCTCAGCGGCCGAGACCTCCAGGCCGCCGCGCAGGCCGCCGGCGGCCGCCATGGGCGCGAGGGGCGGCTGCCCCCATAGGGGAACAGAAGGTGGCATCAGCATACAAAAACTCGGAGGTCCGCGCGGACTCCTCGGATCGGCGCTGGACCCCCCTCCCTGGCGCGACGAGCGCGCGGGGGGCGGCGCCGGAGGCGCCGCCGGGGGGCCCCAGCGCCGATCCGAGAAATCCGCACGGACCTCCGAGTTTGGCGAACGAACAACACACACCCATACCATTAGGGAGGTCGTCGGGAAGAGGACTGGCCATGGGTGTGGGTGCGGGTTGTCGGACCCTGGGGAACGCTCCCGTTCGAGCGGGGACCCCCATCCGACAACACGCACCCGTAGCCCTCTCCGACCCCCCTATGGGTATGGGTGTGTGTGTGTGTGTGTTGTTGGTTTTGGGCGCCCGAGTTATCCGGGGTAACTCGGGTCCGGGGTAAATCGGGTTTGGATTCCCGAAAAAGGAACCCGAGTTACCCCTGACCCGAGTTACCCCTGATGATTCTGGGGCTCTGGACGCCCGAGTTATCCGGGGTAACTCGGGTCCGGGGTAACTCGGGTTCGGGTTCCCGAAAAAGGAACCCGAGTTATCCCTGACCCGAGTTACCCCTGACGACTCGGGGCTCTGATGGTTCGTCAGAGTTTGTATGCTCATGCCACCTCTTGTGCCCCTGCCCAGCTGGCCCGATGGGGCCTCGGCCGCGGGCCGGGGGGCGGGCCGCGCGGGCCGGGGGGCGAGCTCCTGCGCACTCCCGCGGCACGGGGGGGGGAGCGCACGCCCGGAGCAGGGCAGGGTGCACACGGCATCTTGAGGGGATCCTCCTCCTCCTCCTCCTCCTCCTCTTCCTCCTCCACCTCCTCCTCCTGCTCCTGCTCCTCCTCCTCCTCCTCCTCTCCCTCCTCCTCCTCCTCCTCCTCCTCCTCCTCCTCCTCCTCCTCCTCCTCTTCCTCCGGTTCCGAGCAGACAGGTCTCGGTACACGTCGGTCGGAAGAAGTGGGCAAAAGCATGAAGCAGGAAGGCGGATTAAAAGCTGATTGGGTCCAGGCCCCCCCCCAGAGAACAACAAAACACAGCAACAGCAGGCCGATTCTTGAAGCAGGAAGGCGCTCGAAGTAGATGGGGATCTGGGAGTCCCAGAAATACCTACTTTCAACGACCGGCGTGGACTTTTGCTGGGTGTCCCAAAACATTTCTGGGATGTGGTCATTAAGTGCAACCGGATGGGGACAACATCATCCTAGATAGGTTCTGACTGGATGGGGTCGGAGGATCGCGCCGCATCCCCGATGTATCGGCGGTGCATCGTCGGCGCCATCGGTGATGCGGCGCGATCCTCCGACCCCATCTGCTCCGACCCTATCTAGGATTATGTTGCTCCCATCCCATTTTACCCAAGGACAACGTCCCAGAAATAATTTTGAGCACCCAGAGAAAGTATCGAAGCAGTGCCGAACGGGTATCGCTTCCTAGGGCCCGACGCGTGGAAACCCTCCAGTTTCGGTGCGTTCTTGGTGCTTGAAATTCGTCCTGGCGATCAAGGCTAAAGTAGATTGGAACACCAAACCCCAAGAGGCGTTTTGCGAAGGAGAACGTAAACATAGTCTGCATCGAGCTGAACTTTGGGAGGCCCGCGCGGATTCTGCTGTGTCGGCGCTGCACCGCCCGAGCCTGGCGCGTCGGAGCGTGCCGTGGGCGGTGCCGCAGGCGCTGCCGGGGGGGTCCCAGCGCCGGCCCGAGAGATCAGCGCGGACCCTCGAACGCGTATGGTTCGGTAGGTGCTTCTCCTCTGGCTCGTGGCCACGACCCAGGCGCCGTGGCGGGGTGGGCCGACTGTCGGAGGCCCAGGACCTTGCAGTCCATCGTCGTGTCCAGGCGGCGTGGCCAGCAAGCCTCCGCCGCCGAGCGTCTGCTGCAAGAGACGTCTGAGCGCGCGCGCGTCGCGTCGCCCCTGGGCGGCCGAGGCACACACAGTATGATTGGGTCGGGCATGTCCTCCTCCAGGCGGATTCTGGACGACAGATCAGACATACTCAACAACAAAAAACCCAGCATACTCAAAAAAGAACCGAAGCCTCGTCCCCCGACTAAACTTTGACTATTTGAAAAAATCGGGACGATGCTTCGATTTTTTTGTTTTGAGTATGTTGGGTTGTTTGTTGAATATGTTTGACTTCTCGTCTAAAATCCGCCTGCAGAGGGACATCCCCGCCTTACCAGTGGAAGCATGTCTGGGGGACGCCGAGCGGCGGCGCGCCGGCCCCCGTCGCGAAGCCGCAGCTCTGCGACGGTATGGCTTGGTTGAGGTCGGGCATGTCGTCCTACAGGCGGACTGTAAGGGAAAAGAGGGAGCACAAATCATAGCCAACACATGCCCAAACAGGATCAAGGATAGTCAAGCAAACGTCCCCGGACTATGTTTTGACTCTGTTTTAACCGTAGAGGGACATGCCCGCCTGAAGTTTCGGTCGATCCAGGCGTTACGCAGCGCTTTCGGCCTCCAGGGTCGTCTGCCGGGCCCCGGGGCCATCAAACATGTATCGGGGCGAGGTTCGGCGGCGAGCGAGGGGGGGAAGTGAAGGAGAAGGCCTTCTCAGAAGGCGGCGGGACTTCTCAGAAGCTCTCGGACCTTCTGAGACGTTTTGTGTGTCTTCGGGGAAATCTTAGAAACCTTCTCAGAAGGCCGGTGGACTTCCGAGCCTTCTGAGAAGGCCTTCTCCTCCTCACTTCTCTTAGGTCGGGCACGTCCCCCTACAGGGGGATGTTGGGCGCAACATATGAAAGATAGTAAACATATACTCCCAACTGATCAAACAACATACTCCAAACATAGCCCCAGACTATCTTTTGGACTGTTTCGGAATACTCCCCCTGTAGAGGGACGTGCCCGACTTCACACTTCGGGAGCGGCCAAGAGGGGGATGTCCAAGAGGGGGGGGTGCAAATCATGACCGGCGGCATGTGCGCGGCCCAGCGGGGGGGCCAGGGACGCAATGAAACAAGAAGAAGAGGCGCCATGAGATCTGGGGAAATATATCATGGCAGGCTCCGCCAGAACTGTTCTGAGAACAGTTCGTGGAAACCACACAAGGTTCTTAGAACATGCTGTGGTGGGGCTATAGGCGAGCCAGGACGCTTCGCCACTGCTTCATGGGCACATCCCCGCCTCCCACGGGGGAGGCGCGCCGGCTCACGCCTGCGGGCCCCGGGAGCCCACAGCGGAGGAAGCAGCACGGAAGGGGGACGAGCCGTGGCGCGAACGCAGCACCTCGGAGGTCCGCGCGGCTTCCTCGGATCGGCGCTGGACCCCCGACTGTACTCCTTTACGGTCGAGGGGCACGCCCGACTTACAACGAAAGTTAAGTCGGGCGTGTCCCCCTACAGGGGGATTTTGGACGAAATATATCAAATATTCAAACATGAGCCAAAATTGTTAAACAAAACAAGAACTCAAAAAATAGTCCCCCTCCCATGATGTCCAAACCAGAGAAACATCGCCCCCCCCCTCCTCCCCCTCCTCCTGCCCCTCCTCCTCCTCCTCATCCTCCTCCTTTTCCTCCTCCTCACTCCCCCTCTTCCTCCTCCCCCTCCTCCTCCTCCTCCTCCTCCACCTCCTCCGAGCCTGGCCAAGCGTCGTAATCAGACACGCCCCGCGCGATACACACAACACACACAGACACAGACACAGGCACAGGCACAGACACAGACACACAGACACACAGACACACAGACACACAGACAGACAGAAAGACAGACAGACAGACAGACAGACAGACAGACAGACAGACAGACAGACAGACAGACAGACAGACAGGCAGGCAGGCAGGCAGGCAGGCAGGCAGGCAGGCAGGCAGACAGACACCACACAACACACAACACACACAACACACACAACACACACACGTACGCACGCACGCACACACATACATAGTTCGGCATCCTCTTGGAGACTGTGTCAAGCAGACCGATCTCGAGGAACAGGGAATCTGGATGAGAAGAGGGGAGGAGGGGGAGGAGGAAGGAGGATGTGGGGAAAGGTGGGGGGATGAAGAGGAGTCAGGAGGAGTTCGTGGGTGAGTGAGAAGGGTGTGGAGGAAGATGCAGGGGAGGATGAAGAGGGCGTCGATTGATGGTGAATGACAATGATAATGCAGAAGAGCAAGGAAGGAAGAAGAGGAGAGGGAAGGAGCAGGATGAGGCATGTGGGCGTGGAAAGGGCCAAAACGAGGCAGAGTAGGGGTGAGGGTGACGAGCATGCGGGAGGAGGAAGGGTAGGAAGAGGGGAGAAAGGAAGAGCAGGACGAGGGAGGAGTGGCGTGGAAGTGAAAGGAATGAGGAGGGCGAGGAGCAGGGGGGGGGTGGACAAGGACGAGGAGCGACTGCAGACGGCGGTGATCCGCTTTTCCCACCGAAGTCCGACCTCACGGGAGCGCGCCGCTCTTCAAACTGGGCTCTCTCAGCTTGGTCCCTCGCGGGGGGCCTCGACCCGAGAGCTCCCTGGAGGCTGGCCCTACAGAAATCGCCCCGCGCTACGTCGGCGGCGCGCAGGAGGAACCGCAGGCTCCAGAGGAAGCGATCCGGAGATCCGAACATCGGGAAAGGTGCCCTCTGGCCGAAGGT